GGGGCTGCGGGGCCCGGAATTTTTCCAGGCGCGGGAGCTGGAGTGCGTGTGCGTGCGTGTCTAAACCCCGCCGAGCCTCCAAGCGGGGCTCCGGGGCGGGGGCCTCCGGGCGAGCGGGCGCTCCCCTCCCCCACACTCGCCGAACCCCTCTTCCGCAGGGGAGACGATGTCAGAGTTCGTGCGGCTCTACCTTAGGAGGCAAGAATGTTCCAGAATCTTCGGCCGCCCGACCCCAGTCGCCTTCCTGTCGCAGTTGCTCCCGCGACTCCGTCCTGCCGGCGCGTAGCGGGTCCGCGGGAGGGAGAACCAGCCCGGCCGAACGAGCGCGGGGGGACCGGGGCCTCCCCGTCACACCGGTCCCCTAGGCGGGGGGTGCAGCGTACTTTCTGGGCTCTTCTGGCCTCCAACGGAGGAAAGTTACGCTCCTGGCTCCCTGTTCACACTCCTCCCCATGGGGAGCACTCAGATGCCAGGGCACTGATACTTTTTTTTTCTCCCCCCGCCAGCTTTATTGAGGTTTAATTAAATTAAAATTGTATACATTTAAGTTGTACAACATGACGATTTAAGTGCACGTTGTGAAAGAACCATCCCAGCCAAGGTAATTAACATGCCAGTCACCTCACGGTTACCATGTTTTCTTTTTCTTTCTTTTCTCTCTTTTAAAAACAAGTCCGTTTTCTTTCTTTCCGTCTTTCCTTCTTTTTTTTTCTTTTCTTCCTTCCTTCCTTCTCTTCCGCTCCCTCTCCTCCTCCCCTCCTTCCTCTTCGTGTGCACACTCCTGGCACTTTCGAGTATACCATGCAGTGTTACAATGCTACTCCCACTGCTGCAGGGTCGGTGGAGATCCTGCTCTCCTACCGGACAGCCCATGGGTGCAGGGCAGACTCTTACCAGCATTAGGCCTGGATTTGAAGCCAGGTTAATTAACTGTGCATCCTAGGGCCAGTCACTTAACCTCCCTGTGCCTTACTTTCCTCATCTGCAAAATGTCAGTAATAAGAATACCCACCCTCTGGGGTCATTGTGAGGATTGGTGGGGGCTCAGGGAGGGTCATGTGTAGTTATATTTCATATACATTTTTTCCCTTCACATATGTATATATCTCAAAATATAGTCAATAATTAATAGTCAATATACAGTTGGCCTTTACATAATGTGGGGGATGAGAGGTGCTGAAAAATCTGCATGTAACTTAGGATCAGCCCTTGGTATATGTAGTTCCTCAGTATCAACAGATCCAATCAACTGCAGATCACGTTGTACTGTAGGATTTACTATTGAAAAAAAAAATCTGCAGAAAAGTGGACCTGCCCAGTTCAAACCAGTGCTGTTCAAGGGTCAGCTGCATTTTATTTACTATTTGTATATACATTTAATTATAATATATGGATCGATGGTTCTCAACATAGGGTGATTTTGCCCCTCAGGGGACAGTTTGTCAATGTCTGGAGACATTTTCGGTTGTCACAGCTGGGAGGGGGCTGCTTCTGGCATCTTGCGGGTGGAAACCAGGGACACTGCTCAACATCCCACAGTGCACAGGGCGGTCCCCACAGCAGAGAATAATCTGGTCCCAGACGTCTGTGCTACCAAGACTGAGAGATCCTCGGATACGCACATAGGTTTATAATAGTCCAGCCCAGTGAGAAATAAATATAACACAAGCTACATATGTAATTTAAAATTTCCTAGTATCTTCATTAAAAAAAGAAACAGGTAAAATCAGCTTTAAGACTGTATCTTATTTAACCCAACACGGCTGACTTGGACGCAGGTGTTTTTCTACAGTAAGGAAGAGAGCACTGCGCAACCTGTGGTCCATTAATCCGAGGATGTGGAGAAACCACAGATGCGGAAGGCTGACTGTAAGTTACCCTCAAATTTTCGCCTGCAAGGAGGGTCAGCATCCCTAACCAAACCCCCTCCATCCGTGTTGTTCAAGGGTCAACTGTGGATTCAAAATATGATCACGTGTAATCACACGTAATCAGTGTGAAACATTGTTAACGAGATATATCCCACTCTTTTTCTCCTACAGACTTTGAAATCCAGTGCATGGTGTACTTTACAGCACCCGTCAGTTCGCACCAGCCACCTGTGGTTGGTGTTTCTGCCCCATCGGATGCATGGCTCAGAAGGAACCACCATCATATGCTGAAAAGGATGGCCAGCAGAGGGCGTCTGGAGAATATCATAGATTTACTGAAACAAGACAGAGAAAGACAAATACTGTGTATCACTCATATGTGGGATCTAAAAAATAAAACAAACGTACGAGTATAACAAAAAAGAAACAGGCTCACGGATATAGAGAACAAGGGAACTATATTCAATAGCTTATAGTAACGTATAATGAAAAAGAATATGAAAAAGAATATATGTATGTATGACTGAAACATTATACTGTACACCAGAAATTGACACATTGTAATTGACACATTGTAACTGACTATACTTCAATTTAAAAAAAGTTAAAAATTAGCAAAGATAAAACAAATGCATGTGTCTCTGGAATTTTGGACAAATCACTTTACCCTAAAGCTTCTACATAATTTTTTTCATAACTCAAAAGTTGTGTTTAAAAAGCAAAAACTTTCAGGAGTCATAAACATAAAACTAATACTAAAAAAAATTAATTACATAACAATTGGAAACTCCTCAGATAGCTCAAGTGAAATCTGGACTGTGGAGACCGACAGGTGAATCCCAATAGGAATGTAAATCTATAAAATGCATTTGTCATTCCTCATAGTTAGTGAAAATTGCACAAAACACAGGCGACATCCAGCTGTCCCCTAAAGGGCGGGCCAAGTGTCAGAAGGATGAAAATGGGGGGGGTTGGGTGGGTAGGTGAACCCAGCCACTGTTGGGTTGTCTGTCGGGGATGGTATTTCCGGCTGGTGATTTGACATGATGCACTCCCCTCAGTCCTAACACATCGGCTTCCCGGAAATAGGCCTTTGTTCCAGGTGGGGAAACTGAGGCACGGAGAAGCCAACTTGTTACTTGAGGTCCAACAGCCAGAACGGAGCAGAACCAGGATTTAAGACAGAAAAGCTAATTCTTGAGCCTCCGCTGTCGATTACTGTGCCCTTCTTGGACGACACAACCTGGAGTCCACGTTCCCAGCGGGGTCAGGACCCTCCCCCCTGGTGGCCTGGCCGCGAGCCCTCCCCCCGTTAGAATGTATGGCCATGCCTGCCCTGTGATGTGATGTCCCCCTCCTTGGACGTGACTGCCTCCCCAGCGTGCTCGGAGCCCAACGCAGAGCCCGCCGAATAATACCAGTGTCGCGAGTCGGACAGTACCGAGAAAAGGAATGGCAGGAATGATGCCCACGGGCTGAACACCTTCTCTGCGCTGGGCCCTGTTTACAGGCACTTTCCATATTAACTTCATTTCCCAACAACCATGTGAGGCGGGTACTTTCATGATCCCTGATTTAAAGATGAGGCGACCCAGGCCCAGAGAGGTTAAGTAAGTTGCCTGAGGGCACACAGCTAGAGTGTGGAGCTGGGCTATACGCGTATAAGGTAATGTATACACGTATGATATAGTTACACACGCATATAGACGCACACAGGCACACACGTGAACCGAAAATAAAAAGAAAGAAAGTGAAATCTGGAGCAGAAGAGAGTTGGGACAGAGCAGATCAGATCCCCTAACCCTGGGCGCTACTGCCATTTTGAGTGGGGTTGTTCTTTGCTGCTGGGGGCTGCCCAGCGCCTTGCAGGCTGTAGAACCGCATCCCTCGTCTCTACCCGCCAGATGCTCGGAGCAATGTCTCCCCCCTCCCCCACATCCCAGAGCGTGACAGCCAAAAATGTCTCCAGATATTGTGAAATATTTCCCAGGGGCACGGTCACCCCAGATGAGAACCAGGGTGTGTTTCATGGAAACTGGCTTCTTCTGGGGGCTGCTGACCTGATGCTTCGGTCAGACCTGTACCTTCTTCTGAGATACAGGGAAGGTACATGTCAAGAGGATGTAGGTGAAGGGAGGAGGAACACGACCCCAGAGTGAGACGAGCTACATTGAAGCAGCCTCCTCGCTGCGCTTCCAGCTTCTGCCTTGCACTTGGAGGGGTCCTGTGTAAGCACAGACCTGATACTATTCCCCTGTTAGAAGCCAACCCAAATTTCTCACTTCACAGAGTGCAGTGTCCCCTCGCCTCACCATGGCCTGTGTCCACAGCCCCATCTCCTCCCACACTCTTCACCTCCTTGACTCCAACCACACTGGCCTTCTTGTCAGTTTACAATATTGTGTCAGTTTCTGTTGTACAGCATAATGTTTCAGTCACACATATCCGTAAGTATATTTCCTTCCATAATCTTTTTCATTATAAGTTACCACAAGATATTGAATATAGTTCCTTTTGCTCTACAGTAGGACCTTGTTGTTTGTCTGTTTTATATATAGTAGTTAGTATCTGCAAATCTCAAACTCCCAATTTACCCTTTCCCACCTCCTTTCCCCTCCTGGTAAGCGTAAGTTTGTTTTCTGTGTCTGTGTTGTCTATGTGAGTCTGTTTCTGTTTTGTAAATAAGTTCATTTGTGTATGTGTCTCTCTCTCTTTTTTAGATTCCACATAAGTGATATAATATTTTTATTACTATTATAAATATCTTTCTAGTTTTATTGAGAAATAATTGACATACATCACTGTATAAAAAAATTACCCTTGGGAAGGGAAATTGCTCAGTGGCAGAGTGCTTGCTTGGCTTGTTCAAGGTCCTGGGTTCAATCCCCGGTACCTCTGTTTAAAAAAATTACCTTTGCAGGGGGAGGATAAATTAGGAGTATGGAATTAACAGATACACAGTACCATATATAAAATAGATAAACAACAAGGACTTACTGTACAGCACAGGGGACTGTGGTCAATATCTGGTAATAACCTATAATGGAAAAGAATAAAAAAAGGTTGTATATACATATATGTACAAGAATATATATATTCTTTTTTAAGAATGGGTATATATAAACCAAATCACTTTGCTGTACACCTGAAACTAACACAATATTGCAAATCAACTCTACTTCAATGAAAAATTACCTTTAATAAGACTATTTCAATTAAAAGAAGCAGGGAGTCCATTTAAATAAAAAAGGTTAAGGAGGAAATTGTACAGGCAATAAGGTTAATATGGGGAAAAACACAGAGGAGGTACTGGACAGACAGGAATCTGAGCATCGTCGCCCCACCAGTCATTCTGGCAGCCCAAGTAATCTTCCTAAAATGCGAATCTGAGGGTGAGTCAC